TAATATGTTAGAATGAATGAGACCAAGCAGCAAACTTAAAGCAAAATACCTTAGGATTTTGAAAAACTTTTTTGAAGTATAATGCCAGAGAGCAATACCTGTAGAAAATCTAACCTAGCAGCAATATATCAGACACAGAGACGTATTCATAAATTAGGAGCATGTAAAATGGCTATACTTTCACTTCAAAATACTGTGATTATCACAATATTTATTTGGTCCTCTAAGGATTCTTGAGAGTCTCCTACGCATACCAGGCCCCAGTAACTACTCTGACAGGAAATATGTTATTGCTAATACACAATTGAAATATTCTGAACATAGAAGAATTTTTGCTTTATATCTGGAGGTATTATCTGAAATAACTTTTTTCCAACTTTTCCAATGCCTGTTTCCTGACCATTGCTCAGACTGAAATGGAAAAAAAAACCCCTAAGACTACATGCAGAGCCCTTTGCATCCCAAATCTATCAAAGGAATGAGAAAATATTAATGAACTTTTAAAAAAAAAGCTCCAGAGCTTTATTCTGTGAGTCTCAGAATGTAAGAATGCTTCATTAAAGATCTCAAAGTTAACCATTGTAATGGGCAACTTGTACTTCTCATCCTTCCAATTTAAATTTCACACAAAAATGCAACTGGTCGCATTTCTGGCTTGGAGGATCCTCAGAAGCAGCACTGTAACGTGCTTACATGCACAAAGGCTAGCACAATAGGGCTTCAAAATTAAAACAGTCTTGATGAACAGCAGAACATTTCATTTAATTTTTGGCCTTATTATTGCACTCTGATAAACAATATTCAAAGGTTTCAATACTCAGAATTAACTGGAAGCTACAGTCTGGGTATATTGTTTGCTGCCTATTTTGTTGTTGTTGTCTGTTTTCTGAACCTGATGATTAATTTTCATGTCGCCAGCTTCTCATTAATGACATTCAGTGCCGTTACAGTGAATATAAATCTCTCTCCCCCTCCCTGTGGGGAGAAAAACTTTGAACAGGTCCCTAAAAACATAGCTGGAAAATATGCATGTAGCTCATGACAGTCTGAAAAAGGCATCTCCATTTACATGAAGAGCAAGGCATCTGAGGAAAATGGCAGCAGTGAACTGTTGTTTTATTCGCATGGATCAATGTCCTCTCTTATTTTATTGTGTTTAAAGAATCCTACTAAGGCTGTAGATACATGGAGCTAGGAATGTGTCTTTGCCAAAAGCATACTGGTTGAACTGCACTCTCAATAAATACATGCTTCTCCCTATGAAAAGACATGATTTCTGGTTTTATGGGCTCACTTTCAGTGTCCATCTGACAACAGGCCAAGTCATGTTTCCCTGTTTGTGTTACATGGTGATATGATTAGCAATTATATTCCAATTTAGGGCAAGGGCTTTGGATGAAAATTAAGGGAGGAAAAGTGCACTGAAAATTCACATGCTGCTTTTTAAAAGTACAAGAGCTACAAGTCTGTCACGCCTGTAATTTTCCAGTGGACTTGGATATAATGATACCCTCGTATCTTGTTTCAGCACTAATATGCATTAACAGAGTAGTTCAGTGTCAGGTGGGCTGCTTATATCTTCTGGATGCAATAATGAATGGAAACTATACAGACTCTGAGCAGAGTGGCATGACAGTAGTTTTAATGTCTTGTAATATCATTTGCTAAGGTCTGGTCAGGTCAAGTAATTAAGAAAACAGAGAAACTAGGACAATAAAAATAAACAGCATAAAATCAGAACACAATTTAATGAGTTTTAGCTCATATTAAAGATGTTTGGATATATATTTATACCTGGCAAAAATACATAGTTAGTTTTGAGCACATGGCGAATTTTGGAACACTGAAGGCTCAGCCTGAACTGCAGTTCTTAATAGCTGACTCATCATGGACAGAGTCCAGAAGGAAAAATTGGAAGGAAGAATTGGTCATTTGGGCTAGAGAAGTCAAACGTGCCCACATATGGTACAATCCACTAAAGTCTTTTGCATGCTATTGGCTGCAACAGATACTGTGCCTTAAATATCCTGTGGGTCACCAAGAGCAAGAAGAGATGTCTTTTGTAGCAATAAGAGATTTCAGATAGAATATAGAATACGGTCTTTGTACATGACATTTTGCATTGTTCAGGAAAGAGAACCCTCCATATATGTACACTGATGTCAACAAGGAGGCCATCCTCTCCTACACTCTCTGTGACAGTATTGCCTCCAGTTATGCACAGCAAGTGCAAGCTAAACCAGAGGCGAATTATCTTACCCAGACTGAGTTAATCTTAAGTAGGAAATGTATTCATCAGAGCAAAGAAAACACCATCCTATAAATAAGAAGCTTGTCAGCTGAATGTTAGAAACTACACTGTTACAGAAAATGACAGTTGCAAAACTTTGCTACTTCATCACTACAGCCATACCTGTCTTTTGGTCACAGTGCCATCCACAGGATCTACGTACTCAAAGCTGTCCGTTCTTTCCACGCTGTAGATATTGTTACCCACAGCAAACTGCTGATGACTGAATGATTTGTCAATGATCAAAGCTTCCAGGTCTCTCATTATAAAATATGCTGTTCTGGGTTCCAGTGCTTCATAATCAAACCTTGTACGTAAACAAAAAAAGTAGAACCAAGAAGTAAGTCCCCTACAGCTGAAAAAACAGTTCTGCTTTCACAGAACTCAGTATACTCACAATTAGCAATTTACTGCTTCAAAAATTAGATGTGGACCATTGAAGTACTGACTGCAAATTAAACAAGCAACACTTGCAAGTCCCATGCAATCTGACCATCATGCATGTCTGCCACAGTTCTACACTGTACACAGTTCTGAGTCAACAGAAATTGTTTAGAAAATGCAGAGTTTCTGAAGTAGAACAGAAACCGGCATTGATACACAAGAAGCTCTCTGCGATTAAGGACACAATCAGTGCAGTACTCAACAACCAAGGAAAACAGAGAAAACTTTACTGCAAGTTTGCGGAACAGCTGTGTGAAAAAGACCTTACAGACATACAAACCTTTCTGGATTAAGCCTATTCTGAGAGAAAGGGAGATGCATAAGATAAGGTTTAAATGACAGTTAGAATTCACCCTTTTGAGAACTTAACAAAAATGAGTAAATGTTCAGATCTTTGGAGAAGTTCTTCTGAATTAGAAGTAGGCGTATTTCCAGTTCTCACTAAACCACTGTCACACAGAAGCACACACAGAAACAAGTGCAGAATTAAGTCTTTCTGGGGTTTTGATTTTCTTTTTAAACACCATGTAACAACCTGTCTACAGATTCCACAAGTAAATACTTCAAATCTTTCTGCCATTTGATATCAGAAAATTCTATTACTCATATAGTAGGAGTGATGTATATATAAGTGAGTAACTTCTGCTGACACTTACTCATCAGAAAAAACCCACCTAGAGAACAGATTTTCATTCTGTGCATACAGCAAACGCACACCTAAATGCAGCTGAGCACAGCTAAACAAGTCACAGTTGTAGCAGAAATGTTCTATCAACTGTGTAAGTTCCTGTGCCTTTTCCTCACTTTGCTCACCTGCAGTAGTAGTGTCGGCCAAATTTTGCCCAGTGATCCCTGACAATCTCTTCCACACTCTGCTTTCGAGCTGCTAGGATTGAAAGCCAAACTAGCACAGCCCATAGTCCATCTTTCTCTCGAAGGTGATCAGACCCTAAAGAGACATACATAAAGCACGTTTTTTGGTATTGCTGTAAATCAGAAAACAAGGTGAGGGAAAATGTCTCATTTAACTTTTTATGTCACATAACAGTAACCAATAGTACTAACCTCAGCAACTCTGATACCTTCCTGATAGACAATCAGAACTAAGGTTTGAAATGTGATTTATTAGTATATGACAAAGTCCATGCTCATAAAGTTAAATAAAAAATGTACAAGTGCTTGAACAAAAATGGCAGTAGTAGGAAAACATTTTCAGTCATGATTCCCACTCATTGACATGCAGTGTGTTGTCACACCTCTAGTACTGTTTCCCAGAACTGGACTAGATATGAAAACCCCTGGCCATGAACCAGAATGTTCTGAATTATGTGAGTCATGTTAAACAGCATCTTCTTATCTCTGCAGATGTTCATCTGTCAAGCTGCAGAGAAAGAATTTTCCCATTTCATTAAAAATGAATATTTCCAGAATGTTAATGATCTCCTATCAGAAATAAAAACAAGAGCCTGAAAAAGTGTTTCTGAGGAAAAAAAAAAACAAAACAAGTCCTCACAACAAAACACACAGACAACCCCCCCAAAAAAAAACCAAAAAACCCCCCAAAAAACACACCACATTTTCCCCCTTTCTGTATTTCTCCATACCTTTCACTGGTAAAGATGTTTGCATGCTCAGATTTAAATCCTTTCCTAGGTTTGTATTTAAAAAGAGTGAAATAGATTGAACAATGGAGACTAGAAACAATTTTGGAATACCCCACAGGATTTATTCAGCACATACTCTAAGATCTGGGAGGCATAAATTCAGGTCTACTATCTGAATTCAAAGCGGCACAGACTTCATCTTGCACTTCCCATGCCCAAAGCCAAAATGCCAACTTACAGTAACAGGCTGCTCTGCAATAGACACGGAATGTACCTTAACCAGAAATACTTCTACGAGGCTAAGCTGTGCCTGTTAAAACTGGAATGTATTAATCAGCAAAAAGTTTCAATAAAATCATTATTTTCTAACAAAAGACCTCCAGGGAAAGGTTCTTGGGCAGCTCAGCAAGTGCCTTCTCCTTTTAGGTAATTTAAAACAAACTTTTGTGGCAATATATATCTAAACCAGATTACTGAAAAACCACAAGGAAGCACGCATGAGAATTAACACAAAGTAAAATGCAAGATGCTTGACACTCAGGAGATACTGATGATAACTACAGGAACTAATAGAGTCAAGAAACTTGAAGAGACATTAAATATGTAGTCATTGCTCTGGCATAACAATACTAGACTTGTTTCAAGTTTGTTAGCTGCAACCTTATGATTTTCTGTCTAATCACACATTATTGAAACCCTGAGTCCAAAGCAATTGCAGTAATTCAGAAGTTTTGTTTCCCCCATGAATTACCTACTGATCAGGGAGGCAACCAGTTGAACTATCTGTGCCCTTAGAAGATACCTAGAGGAATCTAAAAAGCCTCAGTTTGAAAGCCTGTTTTATGAAATATCATCCTTCCTCAAACACAAAAATCCTATGACAGCAAGACTGCTTCACAGTGCTGTGATTTTACATAATAGCCTGCATGGTCTACAGTCATCTGTGTTTTTGCTACTGGCAGAAGACATAGTTCTCATAATAAAATTGATGCACTGAAGCTGTTAATCATGTGAAAAACTGTCAACAGAAAATTAAAGACACATAAGGAAACTGCAAGTCGTGCAGAGAGCCATGGTGACTCCTAAGGTTCAGTCTTGAGGTCCACCCTCCAGTTACTGCTGCTGCCTTGGACTTGGCAGTCCCTTGTCTTGGAGGGACTTTCTGCCACTTTTTATCTGCCTTGATCTCTGAGCTTTCTGCAACAACAGCAGTCTCCTACTACAACAGTTAGGGCTATGGGCTGGTCCTTGAGGGACTGACTGCTATAGGAAGAGCAACAGCTCACTCCGTTCCCTGCTCCAGAGCCCCGGGTGCTGTGAAAGCATGGAGTGCCAACTAATCAGAGGGAAAAGGGCAGGGTTATTTATGAGCTCTCATAGGTTTCTTAATAGCTTCGGATAAGGAAGGAAAACAATCCTTCCACAGGAAGTCAGTCCTTTGAACAATCAGGTCCTCACCTTTTCTACTTGATCATTGTGAATAACATGTTAAATCCGCTGACGGATGCCTTTTACAGAAACACCAGCAGTATGTCCTATGGATAATAAAGTCAGGTTACTCACGGGCAAAGCAGACAGCACGGTCACAGTAACTTTTACTGTAGCCAAGAGTATGTTCCCAGATAATGGTGCAGGCTTCTGCAACTGCTGTCAGAAGAGAAACCGAGGACAGAGCTGTCCCTTCCAACCAGTGCCCATCGTTCCTCTGGTAGCAGCAGGAGAAGTCCCCAGGCCACCACAGGGTCTGCGGGGACCCTGGGACTGGCAGCACTGGGGCTCACCAGGGGCAGCAGGGCAGGGACAGCAGCCAGGGCACAC